CCCAAACTTGAACTTTTGCTTGTCCTCAAGCAAAATCTACCAATAAGCAAATAACTCAACGATAACATCTCATCACATAGATCAATGATCAACTTCACGTTTTCAGAACTTGTAATTATAATGACAATTTTTAGGCATTCGCAAGCTCAAAATTCAACAACACTTAGTCACTCACCATTACCAAAAACCACAATTCATACAATTGCTTTAAGCATCCAATATTTGCAAATTAAAGATAGAAAAAATTTATACTTACATGCATATTGAACATTAAGCTATTGGGATCATTGGGGCTTTGTGGCTTTCAATTGTTAGGCTCTTTGGTTCGAGGTAGGAAATATGGGTATATGTGGCTATTCTTCTTGAATTGAGGTGTTTACGCCAAAATTTGAAAGATAGGCGTTTGAAACAATGAATTCACCTCTACGGACTTTAGTAAACTCGATTCTCAAAAGTTCAAAAGTCACCACTTTTGCTTTTGAGGCAATGGATCAAATTTTCAAAACTAATTCAACAACTAGTCCTTATTTCTCCCTTCTAGTCTCTTCTGCTTCTTCTTTTTTTTTTTTTTTTTCGAAGAAGAAGAAGGACCTTATAAAAATTTTCGACCGAACTCCAAGGGATAATTTTTTTTCAAGAATCTCCACCTATTCTACCTTACACATTGGCTAAAAGAAAGAACACCTTTTCTCCGAGGCTCAAAACAAGGTTCTAAGGATAATTTCGATAAAAAGGTCGGCTTGAAAGGCTCTAACGGTTCAAAGAAGGCCCAAATCATATCCCAAATCACTCACTACTCAATACTTCGTATCATAAATTTCCTAAGGTGAGTCTTAAAACCGAACATAGCATGATCTAGCACAAATTAATTCCAAATTTAAAATACAAAACATTCAACCAAAGCAATGCACAAAATGTGATTCCTAGCAATAATTCGCTTCTAAGTCCCGTTGAATCGAAAGCTAAACAAACATCAAATCCTTATCACACAAAACAAGCAATCTCATCATCAAAATTGATCATCTCTCATCATCATAAATCATCGATGCATTCGACTCAAGCAAATTATATATATATATATATATATATATATATATATATATATATATATATATATATATATATATATATTTTTTTTTATATTCAGGAAAAAAAAAACGATAAAAGCAATAAAAACAATAAAAAACAAATAAAGCCTAATGCATGCAAACTAAAACAAAAAATAAGCACAAAAACATGTTTTTCACCCCCAAACTTAAAATTTTCGTTGCCCTCAACGAAATTAGCACAAAGTGTAAGGATAGAAAACACCTGATTTAGTCGGAGTCGATGTGATCGGGGTGCTCCTCCCTCGCTCTCTCACGCTCATCCTCATCGGAAAGCTCGGATACGGGCTCAAGAATGGGTGCCGGTAAAGGTGCCGACTCGATGCAATCGGCCGTCCCGCATCCCAAGTGTTGGACAATAGCTTGTAGCATCTTGCTCGACCACCGTTGAAGTGCCTCCACCGTATTGACTTTATGCTCGACGGTAGTCAATCGGTTCCTCGTAATTATCATCTCTCGCTCCATCTTCTTTCGGAATCGTCGATCGGGTCGGGAGCTTGAGGCTTCGGGCTCGTCTCGGGCTTGAAGAGCGGCTTGCGGCTCGTCATAGGTGGCTTCTTTGAATAGCGAGGCCGCAAAATCGGCAATCGGCTTCCGGATGTTGAGCTCGATATCATTTGGCAATTTGGGGACCTTCTCTCTTTTGCACAATCCCGTGACGAGGCTAGGAAAGAAGATGCCCTTTGTATTGTCGCGCATGGAAAGCCAAAGTTGATCGGACATAATTGACCCGATGTCGACCGGCTTCCCCTTGATAATGTAATAAGCGAGCGCACACCGTTCGTGGTTGATCCGACTAAACGAGGTGGTCGGGATTATGTTGGCGCAAATAAACGTCAACCACGCATTGCCTTCATAATGATGCTTTACCAATGATGCGCGTGGACTGTCCAGTCCGGGTATT